TTGGATGCTGGCTGGACAACCATCTAATACGCACAATAAGGAGACAATCTCCTTTTGTAGGGGCATCTCTCTTGAGTCACACGCCTTATATATATGTTTTTGTTGGTTTCAATCTAAATTTTTAAATAAAATTTTTTAATATAATAATAGATTTTCTTAATATTAAAAATTCTTCCCTCTATTCATAATTAAAATTAGTGATACCTCGTCCAAGATAGATGGAACTAGAGCATTCTTATAGGGCAAACCTCTTTAATTATTTAATTAGTAAACCCAATCTCAATGATTTAGATTGGACGGCTACGATGAGGTCAAGATCAATTTGACAAGTACGTATAGCCAACGAAGCTAAGGTTGGAGTTGGAACCAATAATCTGTTAAATATTTGGTCAATTTATTAATTGTGGTGATATCACTGTCGTTTAGTTGTGACATTTTGCCAAAAAACCGTAGAGAGGTTGTTGCATTGTTAGAATAATTAAGTACCTAACGCTTTAGCTAAAAGAAGGGGTAGTTGAATAAAGAAAAATTAATTAACTGAAAACGAAAGATAGAAAAATGTTTTGAACATGTTACTAATTGTTAACTAAGATGAGAAACCCAAGGCAAAATTTAATGTTATTGACTTACCCGAATGTTAGATGAGAAACAAATTATCTAGTTAAGGGAGCAACTAAGGGGGACTGAATCAAGGAAAGTGGCATCTGCTTTCCTTGTTTTGATATTAATTAAAAATCATTATAACAAGTTACCCACAAATCATGAATATTTTGTTTTGTTTAATGATTCAGAAGCAATTAATACTTGATGGTAGATGCTGATAAAAAAAAAACTTGATGGTTGATATTTTTTAGGTTAAATCTCAATCTGTTCTCTTAACTATTATATAAACCTTTAATATGTTTCTTATTGTTTATTAATTTATTCTAAGTTGATCATTTAATGATTACGTATCATATTAATAAAAAAACACATTATCTATTTTTATATGAAAGTATCAACTTGAAATCAAATTGATAAACATTATAAATTAAATTAAAAAAATTTTAATTTAAATATCAAATTGAAAATCATACAATAATTGAATGCTCAAATTGAGGTTTAACTTTTTTTTTTTTTGACAAGATAATGGTTAGGAAGTTAGTGAGTAAATTAAAAAAATTTTAATTTAAATATCAAATTGAAAATCATACAATAATTGAATGCTCAAATTGAGGTTTAACTTTTTTTTTTTTT